TTATGCAGAAATACTGAAAGTTCAAAAGGATTCACAAACTTTTAAGCACCACTGTATTTTATTATTTGTTAAATTTATTTGCAGCCTAACTCCTACTCTGGGAGAGGGACAAGAGGAGTACAACCTGGTTCAGTGTCTTAGACATCTCTTCAGTAGTACTGACCACGGTATCTTTTGTGATAGAAAAACCATTTAGGACAGAACCATTCCAGTTCTACTTTTGCTTGAATGGCCAGTTAGAGAAGATGGTGCTGAAGGATTACTGATTTGCATTGTGACTATGATTAGGACTGTGACTATGTTTAAGACTGTATTATTTTTAACATCTACATGATGTAGGAGGTTATCAAGAACAGGGTGGAGTGTCATCAAATACGTATTCAGGTGACACCCAGCTTTAGTTTTCAACTTCATCTAATATAGATGAAACAGTAGAAGTTCTGAATCAGCGCCTGGGGAGATGAGAGCTTATCAACTGAGATTCAGTTCAAAGAAGATGGAAAAAATCATTTTTGTGAGTGATTTGCCCGCCCAAGTAAGTGATTATCCTGCTCCAAAAGTAGTTGTGCTTCACTTAAGGAATGGGTGTTACCTCAGGAGCTTGAAGCACCCTTTATCAGCTTAAGATGATATACCAACTCTGTCTCTAACTAAACAGAGTTATAGAACAATTGTTCATATTCTGTTAAGTTTCCATATTGACTATTGTAATGTATTATATGTGGGACTGTTTTAGGAAATGATCCAGAATCAACAACTTCAAAGCATGGCAGTTAAACTGCTGACTAAAACTATTCAATCTAGTCTCCATTGCACTTGCCATCTGAACTTCTCAGTCTACAGTAATTCAAAAATTCCACTGTAATTATAATTAGCAGCAGCAGCAGCAGTAGCAGCAGCAGCAGCAGCGGTAGTTAGATTTCTCTGCCATTTTTCTCTAGTTGAAATGTCTTACACAAAATTAATCTTAGTTGCCTCTATATGAGATGGAAGGCACAGAAGTCTAATCAATAAAATAAATAATAAAATTATGTGAAGCAATATTTCCTCCCATGTTCATGAATTAGGATACCCAGAACTTTACTTCAAGCAGAGAGAAAGTCTTTTGATTGTAGCGCGTTGTCTGTGAACACTGGTGTTGCATTACTGTTTTTGGAATATTAGACAAAGGCCTTTTTTATTTTTTCAGGTACAGTATTTTGAAAGCCATTTTAATGGATTAGAATGTTCAGTGCTTTTTTTGTTTAAAAAAAAAAGTGCCAGAACTCACACACGCCATACAACCCGCTTTGCCTACCCTACAAGGCTTACCTTTGTAGTTGAAAAAAAACCCTTTAATTTTTAGTGTATCTAAAAGACTAGGATTTTGTTCAGGGTAAGTTAATACTATTAATGTTACCATGCACTGTGTGGCTTTAATTACAAGAAGTCATTTTATTAATCTTTTGAGACATTTACCATTGGCATATCGATTTAGTTTAATGAGTGGAAATGTCAGCTTTCTATGTGGAATGAAATTGACCCAATAAAACAAAATTTGGTTGCTTGTAAAAGATTGAATTATTTTTAAGAAGTTTTCAAACAAGGTGGAAAAATTTACATTTGGAGTTTAATATGGATATTGACTTGAAACAAATTAAAGTTGAAACTTTGTCAGTGAACAGATTACTTTTAATTTACCTTTAAGTTAAACCCAATTTAATAAATAGATCTGATTAAACCTCATACTGTAGGGCTACCTTTACATCTGACCAATACATAATTAATACATATTATTATTAATAATAATACCTCCAAATCACAAGACATTGGCTTTATTCTTATTCTTCCCCTCTGCAGTTTGAATATAAAGTATAAAAGACTAAAAAGAGTTTTTCGTAGACATCCCAGCCTTTGAACTACCCAAGGAACCGAAATAGCAAAGTTTTGCTGTCGGGCAAGCTTCCACCCCAGCCGCCTTTCTTGTCTCTCGCTTCGCCTCTTTTTAACCTCACACCTCACCTTCTTTAAGGGAAGGCAAAAGACTCACTCACCCTCTCATGAAAGATGGCCTCCATGTTTATGTGTCTTCCACCACTACCATTGGCTTTCACACCACATAGTCCGACCCAGCCAATCAAGCCACGCTCTGGCTGTGGTGCTCCGGCGCCTCATGGCTCCTCATAGAGGAGGCAGACAGCACCGGAGGGGATCCCACTCACACTGTACCGCCAGCAGGGCATTTTCAAAAACAAACGATAGAAAAGGAAACAATAGGAAAAGAACGCAACTCTGGAAAATCTGTTGAAAAAAGTGCCGGAACTCTGTGCGTTCTATGACAAAAAAAGCCCTGAGAATGTTAGTGTTGTAGTTGCTATTTTATCACTGTGATTTCATGCTGTATGTATTATCATTATTGATGCTCAAAATAGATTTTACTGACAGGATCATTGTTTATAACTACCTCAATGGATTGATCACAATATATAACTTAAGAAACATGATAACGTCATACTTGCTTATTTATTTATTTATTTATTCTAATTTTATGCTATGCATCAAAAAGGCCTCTGCAGTGTAAAGTCAGTTGAGGCCTACTATAAAAAGCAAACATTTATAAATGTTTATAATGTTTGTAAACATATTATAAAATATATAAAATATTGTACAAACTATTTAAAAATACAAAATAGTATTACAAATTAGATAAAAACAAGCATCAATAGCGTGAAAGTGCAACACTGCTTTGGACATTCCAACAAAAGTGGAAAGAATCTGTGGATGTTGCTTTCTGGCAGGGTGTGTTTACTTCTGCTTCCAGTCTTGTTAATAGAGTCTGTTTCTGTTGTGAGCAATCTATAACAAGTTATCAAGTGGCAGTACAAATACATTGCAATAGAAAGGTGATTGAATACCTGCCTTGACAAGTGCTTCTTTCAGGGCTGGATCTGGTAGAGCACTACCGTATTAGAGTAGGGACTAGAGGTATTTGTAATAGGAAGATGTGACAATGTCTCCAGAGTCTTGTATATTATTATATTATTATATTATATTATTATATTATTATATTATATTATATTATATTATATTATATTATATTATATTATATTATATTATATTATATTATATTATATTATATTATATTATATTATATTATATTATATTATTATATTATTATATTATATTATATTATTATATTATATTATATTATATTATATTATATTATATTATATTATATTATATTATTATATTATATTTATTATATTATATTATATTATATTATATTATATTATATTATATTATATTATATTATATTATATTATATTATATTATATTATATTATATTTATTATATTATATTATATTATATTATATTTTTTATTTTTATTTTTTTAAAAAAGATCAAACTAGTGAGTCCTTGGCTCAACAATGCTGGGAATTAATGCGATCCTCTGCTATCCCCCAAGAAGCTTACATGAAGGTTTCAGTGAGGTCTCTGACACCAGAACTCTTAAAATATGTTTTTAATCTTTGCCTTGAGATGTGTCTTTACATTTCCATGGAATTTTATTTTTATCTAGGATTTTGTACCTTCTATTTTTAGCTTTTGTATTTCTTTGCTACTTATCCTGAGAAAGCTCAAGACAGGATATAAATATCCTAAATAAATAAATCAGTTAATTCCCTTTCATGTCTGAATTGTATGAAGGCATATCGTTTCAATAAAAGGACTGTGGGACTGTGCTGCTGACTTGAACCCCAAGTATGCCTAGCGGTTGGATCCTGTTTTTAGTATTAATGCTTTAACCATGGAAGTTTATGCATCTGTAGGTTTTATGTAAGAATGATTTCAAATCTGTCAGATTGATGAGATCTTCTGGGAAAATATTATTAAAAATAAAATACTGTTTGCTGACACTTTTCAAAAACTTTTAATTATTTTTCCCCTAATATTCCTAAATAAACACTAATGGTCATGATATAAAAGAGAACTGCTTGTTATGGATCAGTTAGTAGATAAAATATATAATGCACAGAATAGAAATAAATAATTCTGAGAAAGATTGTAGGAAAGAAGGTTTGGACTTTGCTCTGGGTATTTCCATATGTATCTAGACAGTATGGGAAACAGTTCAAGCTTTGTCACATCTAGTGGACCAGTGTTTCTCAACCTTCACAACTTTACAATGTATGGACCTCAACTCCCCAAATTCCCCAGCCAGCCATGCTGGGAGTTGAAATCCACATATCTTAAAGTTGTGAAGGTTCAGAAACATTGAATGTAATTATTCTGTATGATACACGTTACTGAATATTGCATTGTATATTATGTATTTATAAAACAAAAAATACAATTTCAGCAGTGATATAGTTGTATCTTCAATAGTGTCGTTAACCTATACCATTGTTTCAATGACTTTAATCTGAATACAAGTTGAATAGTTTTTTTCCTAGAAGGTAAAAGATTCTGTAAAATAGTGAACCTTATAGAAAGAAAAAAGCTATAGCTTTCTTCAGTTGAATGTTGGTAATAAATTTCACATTTTTGTATTCTGCAGGTAAGAAAAGATTTGGAAATTGGTCTGACAGAACAATCATGATGGGATTAAGGAATTCAACTGCCTTGCCTGGTGGTCTTCTTCTTTTAACTGTTGCACTTTTGCTATGCCATGTGGACAAAGTACATACAGAACATCAACCTGAAGAAGCCAATTATTCAAAAGTATGTTCTGGTTCCTATATCTGTAAGAAAGGTATAATTTTGCCAATTTGGGAACCTCAAGATCCTTCATTTGGTGATAAAATAGCAAGAGCTACTGTATATTTTGTGGCCATGGTATACATGTTTCTAGGAGTGTCTATTATAGCAGATCGTTTCATGTCATCCATAGAAGTTATTACATCCCAAGAGAGAGAAATAACAATCAAGAAACCCAATGGTGAAACCAGCAAGACAACAGTAAGAATTTGGAATGAAACTGTTTCGAACTTAACATTGATGGCTTTGGGCTCTTCTGCACCTGAGATCCTCCTATCTGTCATTGAAGTGTGTGGCCATGGCTTCAAGGCAGGAGACCTTGGGCCAAGCACTATTGTAGGAAGCGCTGCCTTTAATATGTTTGTCATTATAGCCCTTTGTGTTTATGTTGTCCCTGATGGAGAAATCAGGAAGATTAAGCATCTTCGTGTGTTTTTTGTGACTGCAGCTTGGAGCATTTTTGCCTATACTTGGCTGTATTTAATTTTGTCAGTTATGTCACCTGGAATAGTAGAAGTCTGGGAAAGTTTGCTCACTTTCTTCTTTTTTCCTATCTGTGTGGTGTTTGCATGGGTTGCTGATCGAAGGCTTTTATTCTACAAGTATGTCTACAAGAAGTACAGAGCTGGAAAGCAGAGAGGCATGATAATTGAACATGAGGGTGAAGGGCCACCATCTAAAGCTGATATTGAAATGGATGGAAAGATAGTTAATTCCCATGTTGAAAGTTTCTTGGATGGCACTCTGGTCTTAGAGGTGGATGAGAAGGATCAAGATGATGATGAAGCAAGGAGAGAAATGGCTAGAATCCTGAAGGAATTGAAACAGAAGCATCCAGACAAAGAGATTGAACAGCTAATAGAACTAGCTAATTATCAAGTTCTGAGTCAGCAACAAAAGAGTCGCGCCTTTTATCGTATTCAGGCTACTCGGTTAATGACTGGAGCTGGCAACATATTGAAGCGACATGCAGCTGACCAAGCACGAAAAGCTGTCAGCATGCATGAGGTCAACTGTGAGGTGGCAGACAATGACCCTGTCAGTAAGGTCTATTTTGAGCAGAGCACCTACCAGTGCCTTGAGAACTGTGGCACAGTAGCTCTAACAGTTGCCCGTCGAGGTGGTGATTTGACCAAAACAGTCTTGGTTGATTTCAGAACTGAAGATGGTACAGCCAACGCAGGGTCTGATTACGAGTTCACTGAAGGGACAGTGGTATTTAAGCCAGGTGAGATACAAAAAGAAATAAGAGTTGGCATAATTGATGACGATATATTTGAGGAAGATGAGAATTTCCTTGTTCACCTCAGTAATGTGAAAGTGTCAGAACAATCTGAAGAGGGCAACCATCTTACAACTGTGGCTTGCCTGGGATCACCTGCTACAGCCACAGTTACAATCTTTGATGATGATCATGCTGGCATATTTACTTTTGAGGAACCAGTCACTCATGTAAGTGAGAGTGTGGGGACCATGGAGGTGAAAGTGCTACGGACATCTGGAGCTCGAGGAAATGTTATTGTGCCGTACAAAACAATTGAAGGCACAGCCAAGGGAAGCGGAGAGGACTTCGAAGACACCTGTGGAGAGCTTGAATTTCAGAATGATGAGATTGTGTAAGTAGTACTTAACCTTTTGTGGCTTATAAGCATTTGTTTTCTTCCCTATCTGATAAAATATTCTATTCAAAGCATTTTATAATTAATGCTGCATCAAAAGCAGAAGACTCTTACAGAGTGACATTACTTTAAAATGTAGCCCAAAATGTCTTGAAGATTTCTTGTGTGTCATGAAATAGTATATATGTGAAATAGTGCTATCAAAAGGAGTGAATTCTGAATATGCAAATATAAACAAAAGCATGTCTTGCATTGAAAATACACATGACCTCATCACCCTTTCAGATATTCTAGTCATTAATTAACTGAGTAATAAAAAGCAGCATGGAAAATTGTTGTTTCCTTTTGTAAGCGCAGACATTCCTTGAACTCAACTTGTAGTCAGGAAGACTTTATATTGAGAACTAGCTTAGGATGGGTCTGCTATTTCCCCAAAAAAAACCACCAGCCTATGACTAATAAATAGAATTAGGTTGCAAGTTCAGAGAGGGTTGTCATTAGCCTTTGTGATATTATGAAATATTTATGGTTTGCACTTTGAAGTGAATGTTATCACGTGGGGGAAAGTCCAATTAGGCAAGGCAGCCAAGTTTGACAGTTTACAAAAATGAAAGCAGTTAAAAAGGAAGCATCGCTGATAAGCATTTCCTGGCTACTAGGAATTTTTTCTGCACTCACTTTTTTCTCATGTATGTATGGAATCCATACACACAAATACACACATCTTTTTTTCAGTTGCTACTTTTGCCTGTGTTCTCATAAAGAAAAAAAAATGCTAATGTGTAGTTGTTTAGGTTGTTGTTTTGCTCAGGCAATGGCAGCCAAGTTCAAGCCTCCATTTAATCATGAAACTTACTGGGTAACTGTGGGCCAGTCCAAACTATCTTATAGCATGGCTGATAATAGGTAATGTTAGAATAAAAAAGGCCAAAGTCCTAAAGCCATTTCTTTGTTATGAGTAGAGGGAAGGATATATATACTTCATTCCAAAGCTTACCTAACTTTAACAAAATGGCTGGACCATTTAAAGTGATTCTGCTTGCTTGAAGCCTAACATGGGCAGGTCATAATCTCAACACATAGTTTTAACACATGAAACATATGTGATGAATCCAAGGAAGTTTTGTTTAATTCTATGCCATTGAGCCACATTAAGCCGTGAGTGTATAGAATCTCAATCTCTCTCTCTCTCTCGCTCTCTCTCTCTCTCTCTCTCTCTCTCTCTGTGTGTGTGTGTGTGTGTGTGTGTTTGTGTGTGTGTGTGTGTTTATGTATATGTATGCCACAGAGTAATGAACAAAGCCTTTGATTTTCTTCCTGAATGCATAATGTATCAGTGAAATACGATGTATAAGGGCATTTGCAATAGGAAATTATGTAATATTTTAAAACATTACCCTTCCTATATTCTTAAGCTTGAATTGTGTGGAAAAAAATAAAAAGAGCAACAATCCTTTGTATTCTAGAAAATACAAAGGAAAAACACAATACCAGGATGTAAAAGTATTACATTATAAACAAATAAAGATAGATGTTTCTGCTGATTAAGTAGAGTGCATATAAAATGCAGTCTGTCTATGATCACTGAGGAGTGTTAGGATGGCAGAGCATCTTTATAAGCACCAATCTTTAATCTCGGGACTTGTCAGCTGACTCAGTGAATCTGTGCTTCATTTTTTATTAAAGATGCATGACCTTTTATCAGATGTAAATTAAAAAATGTCCTCTAATCTTTTTGAAAAGAAAAAAGATAGGGAAAATAATAAGACTAATAGTAATACTTTCTGTAACTTTGTGAAAGATTAGCTGCTGGCTATAAAAGAATGCAGATTACATTCATTAAAGTTATCACTGTGGTTTTAGCAGTTAAATGGGAAAGTAGGAAAGAAAATGATATCCATCATAATGAGGCATATTAAGAGATTTTTGCTAGCCAACAAAACTCATTTTTCAAAATAAACAAAAATTGTGAGTCTGAAGTCACATCTTATTTGCTATGATTTCATACTGTCATGGATAACTTTAATATTATAAATAATAGCTCTATGCAATTTTCTGTTGGGGAATTCTGGGAACTTGAGTTCGAATATACATGTTGAATACCAGATTGGAAAGACTGAAATAGAGTACTGTAACTACAGAATAATTTCAATAGATCTAATTGCAACTTTTCCAGTTCAAAATTATGCCCACCATGGATACTGTATAAGTTTGGATTATGTTGTAGCAGTGCTACTTTTTTTAAAAAAAATATTTTCCCAAAAATAAAATACAATTATACAGAATGAAAAAATAGATAACAAAACAAAAATTACAGACATGACACAAAAAAGGAAAAGGGTAAAAAGTGCATACAACAAATATAAAATTAACAATAAAAATACAAGCTTCACCCTAGTATCTCACACAACCTAATAGATTTGTTCCCTTGCATTGTGGACCTACAAATAATTATACATTACTATTACTTACTAAATTAATATTTTACATCACATTCTCTTAACAAATATCTCAGATATACAAATCTATTATGTATGACATGTATCAACCCAATACCTCTTCATTGTAAAAAAGTTGTTAATTGTTAACCCCAAAAAATATATTAAACTTCAAAGCCCTTTGTTAACAGTCCATTATGTAACTCACAGAAACTCCACAGCTTCCAGAAACTCTTATAAAAACTTATCCAAACCATTGTCTCTAATCAACACACTTAATTTTGCCATCTCTGCCATTTCAAAATCCATTCTTCCACTGTTGGTATTCCTTTTTCTTTCCAAAATTTGGCATACACAGTTCTTGCAGCTGTCACCATATAGAAAAATAAAATTCCAAACTATTTTTCTGTCGGTTTATCAATAATACCTAAAAGAAATGTTTCAGATTTCATTAATTGTTGTGCTTTAAGTATTTCCTGCATAATCATTATTATATTTATCCAATATGATTTAGTATGATATGATTTATCACCACATGTGATAAAATTTACCTGGAGTTTGATCACATTTTCAACATTTATTGGAAGTTCCATTATACATTCTTGCCTATTTGTCTGGAGTCAAATACCATTGATATATCATCTTATAAAAGTTTTATTTCAAACTCTAATTCAAAGTAAATTTTAAATTGTTAATCCACATATTTTCCTATTGATCTATTATATTATAACCTAGGTTTTTCACTAATTTTATCATACAGTCCTTAACATATTCATCTTCCAAATTCATCCTAAGTAGTATTTTATAAACTTTAGAAATCAAGTGGTCATCTGAGTATAAATTCCATTCCAATTCAGATTTGTCAGCTGCAAAAACAAAACTTTTTTATCAAGTTGAAACCTTTCAAAGATTCTATGAAAATTAAACCTATCACAATTAAAGCCATCACTTACAAATTGTTCCCCAGTTTTTACCTTAGGTTCTTGTTCTTCCAATAACAATAGGTCACAATATGTAATCCATGCAAAACAGAATTTTTTCCCCTCTGCAAATCCAATTTTAATTCAGTCCACATTTTAACATAGTTGTTTTTATACAATATAGAAGTAGTCTTACTGATTGCTGTTAAGATTTTGCTTGCAATAAAAAACCAATTCTACATGATAAGCATCTGAACAACAAGTGATTTCTCAGATAGGTCAGTGAATAGAACTGTTTTTAAAAGGAAGGGGGATAAAAAGGATAAAAAGGGCGAGCTTTAAGTCTAAAACTCTTAGTTAAAAATCCATAGAATGTATGAGGCTCAGCTCTTATGAATATGATTTCTCTTAGTCTCTTACATTCATTTCACCGGGATCCAATTATATAAAAAGGTTTCCTCACCCTTTTCTATGGATCATTCCCATCCATTATGATATGTTTTCTGTTTATTTTTTCCTCACAGCTTATTAAACAACTTCAGGGTAAACTTAAAGTTATTGCTTAGGTTGGAGAAGAAACTATAAGAGGGGAGTTCTGAATTTATTTTTTACTCCAATTTCAATTTATACTTTCTTCTCCCTTCTCTGCCTCCAAGTAATGGCGAAATTTTCTGTCTACTTGGTATATTTCAGTCTCCAAAATGTATTATAGTTTGCAAAGCCAGGTCTGGCATACATGGATACATTCAGTAACATTCTGTGGGTAAGACCCTAATTCACAGGAAACAGAGTATATTTATCAAGCAGCAAGGAGCTACAAATGTCTAAAATCATGATTGGTTACATAACCCAAAGACAAAAATATATACCATGCTTTACCTGTCAATCACGAAACCATAAACTTCAGCTGGTTGTAACTGTTCGACCAACTTTTTCTTGAAGCCTAATCATTAACACAGAATTGAAACTATGCCATGTGCTTGCTAATTAATGGTGTTATACTTAAAACTCTAGCTATCCTCAGGAACCCTATGCTTAAACATTGATTAATATTTACATTGCATTAATGTACATTGCATTACATTAATATTTACATCTTCCACACACTACAGTTTTTGAATGGAACAGGCTTCTAATATCTGTGTTTTGCCAATTCCAAATATGGACATGTGCTTTCTTTTAGTGGTTAATAGGGAGAATACAGCAAGGGCTGCAATGGATGGGGAAAGGTACAGTACTCTACAGTTAATCCTAGACTTAAGACTGTTCATTCAGGGACCATTTGAAATTACAATGGCATTGAACAAAGGAAGTATGACCCCAGCAGTAATCCTGCAGTCACATGAACAAAAATTTGGTGCTTGACAATGTGCCTGCCTTTATAACTGACTGCAGGGATGCTGCAATGCTCCACACCCATCTCTCTTCTATCCTGCTCTGCTTGGTCCCCACAGGCCTTGGTCCTGATTTCCTGCCCCACTAGGTCCCCACAGACCTTGGTCCTGATTTCCTGCCCCACTAGGTTCCCACGGGCCTTGGGCCTGTTTCCACCCCTCCGGGCCCTATATCCCCCTCTCCGCCCCCTGTTATGACTCAGTCATCTTTTCAGAAAACTTTCAGGAGGCGGTGCATTGGAGGC